CTCCATTTCATCATCCATAGCTGATTTCCTATGATTTTGTAGTTGAGCTTGTTTAAAGGTTGCTATTTCCGCTATTGCTACATTACATCTGCTGTAAATGTCTGCTAAGCTCCTTGTACCTTTTACAACTTTGCTCTCATCCTCCAAATCAGAATCATCATTGGCTATAGTCTGTTGTGTCTCAACATCAGCCATATCAATAAAATTAAACTGTCTAGCACTGTTATTAGACCAATTCCAACTTTGTCCCTCATCAAATACCACAACTCTACTTACAAAAATCTTCTTCAGCTAGGGTCATATAACCTATAGCCTTTTGAAACTTCACCATAGCCAACCATCACTGCTATAACAGACTTTATATCAAACTTGGACCTTTTGGCATTTGGAATCATAGCATAATAGATGCCTCTAAAGGTTCTAAGATGAGACACTCTAGGTTTATGATTAAACCACATTTCATAAGGGGTTTTACTATCCAAGACACTAGTATAAGCTCTATTTAGTAGATAATTTGCTGTATTTATAGCTTCTACCTAAAATGCCCTCGACATATTCATTTGATGCAACAAGCATCTTCCTATCTTAGCCAAAGTCCTATTCATTCTCTCAGCTTTACCATTCTGTTGAGGGCTATATGGAATGGTTAGTTGATGCTGTATTCCCAAAGATTCAAGGTACTGCTTAAAATCAGCTGAAGTATACTCTTTACCATTGTCAGTCCTTAAGGTTCTGACCTTTTGACCAGAAAAATTTTTAGCAACTGCTTTAAACTTTTTGAAATAGTTTAATGCTTCAGATTTCTGTTTTAGGAAGAAAATCCAGCAATACTTTGTATAATCATCCATAAAGATGATATAGTACCTGCTTCCACTAAGTGAAGTAGTCTTCATTGGACTAGAAATATCAGTATGCACTAGCTCAAGTTTCTTTGTAACCTTCCAATCACTGTACTTAGGAAAAGGTTTTCTAGTCTACTTTTCAAGTTGACAAACTTGACAAAGCTTTGATGGTTTTACTATCCCAGGTAAACCTTCCACTAAGTTCTTTACTGACATTAGGGATAATGAGCTGTAATTGACATGTCCAAACCTCTTATGCCACTTTTCTGATATATCCAACTCATTATATAAGGCCAAATGTGAAGCATTATTTGCCATATTAAAAGGATAACAATTGTTCCTCATTGCAACAGTGTACAATTCATCACCATTCAGATCCATCATTGTGCAAACTTCACTTT